CTATGCAAAATGAACTAACCGCTCTTGAAGCAAACAACACTTGGGAATTGGCTGTACCACCAAAAGGCAAAAGGCTCGTGGGATGTAAATGGGTGTTTAAAACAAAGTATAAGGCGGATGGTACCATTGAGAGGTACAAAGCACGCCTTGTAGCCAAGGGATATACACAGAATGAGGGAGAGGATTATTTCGAGACTTTTTCCCCGGTTGCCAAAATGCCCACAATCCGCTGTCTATTGGCCATTGCAGCCTCTAAAGGTTGGTCTCTCTACCATCTTGATGTCAATAATGCCTTTCTCTATGGTGATTTGGAAGAGGAAGTTTATATGTCACTACCACCGGGATATGGTAGCGAGGGGGAGAATCGTGTATGCAAGCTGAAAAAGTCCCTCTATGGTTTGAAACAAGCTTCAAGGCAATGGAATCATAAGCTAACTTCTGTCATCACCAAAATTGGGTTCACACAATCCAAAGCCGACTACTCGCTTTTCTTCAAAAGGACGAACACCTCTTTCACTGTCATGCTTGTTTATGTTGATGATATGGTGATAGGGGGAGACAATGATACCGAAATTCAAAACTTGAAAGAGTATCTAGGAAAACATTTCAAATTAAAAGACCTTGGACGGCTGAAATATTTTTTGGGGATAGAGATAGCACGCTGTTCAAAAGGGATTTCTATATGCCAAAGAAAATATGCATTAGAAATCTTACAAGATTGTGGGTTAATTGGAGCCAAATCCATTCAATTTCCAATGGAACAAAATTTGAAGCTTAACGAAGAGGAAGGACCAGAACTCACTAATCCAAAAGAGTATAGAAGATTAATTGGTCGATTGTTATACTTAACGATCACACGCCCAGATATCTCTTACTCTGTGCAAGTCTTGAGTCAATTTCTAAGCCAACCAAAAATGGCCCACTGGAAAGCAGCTCTTAGAGTTGTGAGATACCTCAAAGGATCTCCATCACAGGGTTTATTTTATCCAGCAAACAAGCATCTGAAGTTGGCAGCATTTTGTGATGCCGATTGGGGAGCATGCTCGGAAACAAGAAGATCAATCACTGGCTTCTGCATTTTTTGGGAGATGCCTTGGTCTCTTGGAAATCAAAGAAACAAAGGACAGTATCTCGATCATCAGCAGAAGCTGAATATCGCTCAATGGCCTCTACCACATGTGAATTGGTTTGGTTTCGGAGCCTCTTACAAGACTTCGGTATAACTCTCAACCAACCTGTTCAATTGTTTTGTGATAATCAAGCATCCATTTACATTGCATCCAATCCAGTTTATCATGAAAGAACAAAACACATTGAAATTGATTGTCACATCGTTCGAGAAA